TAGCCAGAATATCCACCACAATCATCAAAGGATTTCATTCATTCTTTGTGATTTTTGCCTCCACAACAGGACAGACAAAGCCAGCTCCAAAGCCAAGACAAAGTCAAACAAAATCAGCCCTTATCAACTCAAGATTGGAAGCTAGTGAATGATAAAGGGATGTAGGAAGGTTCCTTGTATTTGCATTCATTATATTGTGTGTTTTCCCTCCTCTCCCCTCCTTATATATTTCGGCCATTTGGCCCTTGTAATGATCATCTCTGAATTATTAAAAACTCCTTTTACTCTTTGAGTATTTATAAAATAGTGTGATGCTATTTTAGCCAAATCCCTAATTCTATATCTTAAGAAGGGTTATCTTAAGTGTGAGTTTTAGGTTCTAGATATTTAATTAAGTGTGTCATATCTTAATTAAATTCTAGATTCAAACCCCAAGTTAGGATAAGAGTGTGTAATATCTCTTAAACACCAACTTGGTTTATCCATCCCTGAATTTTCTTCCATTTCATATCCCCCCATTTCTCCTCTTAATCTCACTCTTTTCTTCCACTAAAATACCCAAAAGAACTCCCTCATCAGCCCCATATATTTCCAACCCATTCCCCACAAAAGCGCCTTTCTTCTTGCCCAGAATCACTGCGAAATAATCGATTATTATTCCCCATAATCGATTATCAGTTCCATTGGAAACATTTGCAGGCAGTAATAATCGATTATCCCCTTAAGATAATCGACTATCACTCATTCCCAGAAAATCTGCAGCCTTCAATAATCTATTGTCTATTTCTGTTAATCGATTATCACGTCCCCCAGGATTCCTGCAGTCTCTACAATCGATTGTCTCCTACTATCAGTCTCTACAATCGATTGTCTCCTACTATCAGTCGACTATTGTAATCCCGCCCTCAAATTATCTAAATGATAAGACCCCGGTTTCGGGGCTAACACACACAATTCTTTATCCCTTGCTTTCGTAGCATTTTTTTAGGGTTGTTTAATTCCGTTGCATTATTTCCGATTGCCTAATTCCACTCTAGTTTGTGCTCATGTGAAAGAACAACGGGATTGAGTAAGTAATTTTTTGCTAACATAATAATCTTGGGTTGTTCGTGCAATTGCTTCACACACGTGAGCCAAATTTGGAAAATTTAGGCCAAATTGTATGTGCCTCTGTGTTGCTGATGTTTTCAGTTTTTTATTCTCTTTTGTGGGTTTTTTCTCCTTTGTTGTGATTTATTGTTTTTTTTCTCCTTTGTGGTGATCTTTTGATCATTTTTCTCCTTAGTGGATATGTCTACTATGAATCAGTATGCTTTGACTCCTTTTAATGGAAAAACTGATTTTAGTATTTGGAAACAAAAATTGAAGTGTGTTCGTGTTCATCAAAAAGTTTATAGGGCTGTTAGTGATTCATATATAGAAACAGACGCTAAAGAGAAAAGAGTTGAAATGAATGAAATTGCTTGTTCCGTAATTTACTTAAACTTAACTGACTGTGTGATCAGAAAAGTTGGTATGTACGGAGTATTTATTTATTTCGATTAGGCTCAGGTCACCCGTAAAAATCGGTTCGTAGTTGTGCACTACAAGGGTACCAAAAGGAGCAATTTTTACGGGTGATCTGAGCCTAATCGGTATAAATAAATACACATAACAGTGGTATCAAAGACTGGTTTTACTCATTATATTCCAATTATTTAATTTCTTCGTGTCTGGGGATAAACCTCTTGTGGCTAAAGAAATTTATCCACCTTTTGTGTCTGAAGCTATCTCATCCCACTTGTTCTTTCTCTTTTTCTGTGAGTGTGTCACCATATTTCAAATAAAAAAAATTCAAAGCCCTGTTCTTGGAACTTCCGTGTCTCTTCTATGTTCTTTTTTTTCTTTCGGACTATCCGTGTCCCTCTGCCTAGTGAGCCGCTATTCTCCTGCGAGAAAAAAAACGGGGACGAGTGCAAGAGCCAAGTCGCACCAATTGCTTCGTGCGATTGAAGGCTGTCGACAACCGGGAATTCCAGCAGAATTGCGTTAAAGGGACAGAAGCTCCAACATCTAGGGGTGGTGTTTATTCCCGCTGCCAGAACCTAAGTGCTGCCAAAATTCCTCGGTGGAGTTGGTAAGTCAAATCTAGGCATTAGATTCGCCAAGGTACACAATTCTTTATCCCTTGCTTTCGTAGCATTTTTTTAGGGTTGTTTATTTCCGCTGCATTATTTCTGATTGCCTAATTCCACTATAGTTTGTGCTCGTGTGAAAGAACAACGGTATTGAGTAAGTAATTTTTTGCTAACATAATAATCTTGGGTTGTTCGTGCAATTGCTTCACACACGTGAGCCAAATTTGTAAAATTTAGGCCAAATTCTACGTGCCTCTGTGTTGCACGGTGAAAGATATAAAGGCAGCCCCTCTTTATATAGTGGAGATTAGGGTGGTAATTAAGGCAAGCTTAATTAGGTTAAGAAGTAAAGGTTGGGCTTGAGTAAATGGGCTGCTGGGTTGGGTGTCAAATATTATTAATACGTTTGGGCCAACCCAAATAAATAAAAAATCTTCACCTTTGGCACAAAGTTGTGCACATAGTTGACAAAGAATCGCGGGACTCATCATAGCCTAATAACCACTAAATGTGTAATCAACAAATGAGAACACACGTAGTGGTGGAGAGTTCACTAAGTACTCTCAAGTCACGAAGACTAGGCAACATCACAAAGCATGCCAAAAAATAACTCACGAAGAGTCAAACTCTACAATTGGGTCATCGAGTTCAAAAAACAAAAAAAAGTAAAAGTCACAAAGACCAAAAATAACAAAAGATCAAATCACAATCACAGAGATAGGTTTAAAATCTTTTGACATAAGATAAATTTTTCAACATGTAAACACTTAGTACCCATGTCAGCTGGATTAGACTCCGTAGGAATTTTCCCCGACATGACAATGCCCTTTTCAACTATGTCTCTTATAAAATGAAATTTAACACCAATATGTTTTGTTCTAGCTATCATGAAAAACAGGATTTTTGCATAGTTGAATGGCAGATTGACTATCAGAAAAAACAACCACATCCTTATCAAGCAAGCATATTTCAGATAAAAGAAGCTTCTTTAAAAGCATCTGTGGCTGCAACATAGTTAGCCTCAGTAGTAGATAAAAGCAACAATGTGTTGAAGTTGAGACTTCCAACTAATGCAAGAACCACACAAAGTGAACACATAGGAAGTAGTAGATTTTCTATTATCCCTATCGTTTGCATAGTTAGAATCCACATAGCCAATTAATTTTACACTTTTAGCACTTCTTGAAAAAGTTAAACCAACATTCCTAGTAGATTTCAAGTATCTCAAAAGCCATTTTAGAGCATTCCAATGAGCCATACCAGGATTAGACATGTATCTACTCAAACAACTAACAACATATGCAATATCAGGCCTAGTGCTAATCATAAGATACATCACAAAACCAATAGCATTCGAATAAGGCGCACTTTTCATTTCATTAATTTCAGCTTTAGTTTTAGGGCACATATCCTTACTCAACACAAAGTGAGGAGCTAAAGGAACATTCACAGGTTTAGCATCACATATAGCAAATTTACTCAAAATCTTATCAATGTAGGAATTTTGATTTAAAATAAGAGTAGATTTCTTTCTGTCCCTAACAATATTCATGCCAAGTATTTTTCTAGCATCTCCTAAATCTTTCATGTCAAAATTTTTGCAAAGATAATTTTGAACATGCTCAATAGAGTTTAAGCTAAGACTAATGATTAGCATATCATCCACATAAAGGAGAAGAAAAACAGGAACAGAGAAAGTGTTCTTGAAGTACAAGCAGTGATCAGCATTACTTCTCTTAAAACCAAAGTTTTTCATTCAATTATCAAATTTAATATTCCATTGCTAGGTGATTGTTTTAAACCATACAAAGCCTTTTTTAACAAGCACACATGATTAGGCAACTTAGGATCAACAAATCCTTCAGGTTGGTGCATATAAATATTTTTATCAAGATCACCATGTAAGAAAGCAATAGTAACATCCATTTGTTTTAATTCCCAATTATATTGAGCAACTAAAGACAACATGATTCTAAATGTGGTGAACTTGACAACAGGAGAAAAAATTTCTACATAATCCATTCCCTCCTTTTGAGTAAATCCCTTAGCCACAAGTCTAGCCTTAAACCTAACATTTTCACGTTCTTGCTTAATTTTAAACAACCACTTATAGTCCACAAGAGAACAATTTTCAGGTTTTGGCACAAGTTTCCACGTTTGGTTAACATGAAGAGATTCCATCTCACATTTCATAGCACTAACCCATTTTCAGAACATTTAGATTCTAATGCTTCACGATAAGTCTTAGGTTCATCACACTCAAGGGATTCAATCACATGAAAAGCAAACATATCTCGCAGGTTTGCTAATGGTTCTTCTATTTCTATCCCTAGCAAGTTGATAGTCATGCAAATCATTTTCAACATGTGATTCTACACTACCATGCTCGACCTCACACTACGTCAAAAATAGATGCTGACAACTGTTTCTTTTAGTAGTCTCACGGTGCTGATTTCAGTAGTCTTCCGAGCAGCTGTCTGATATATTTACAGACTATTGTTTAAAAACAGTTGTGTAAAATGGTTGATGACACCTGTTTTGTAATGTTTTAGAGTACGACTTTTTAGTGTTGTCCTTGTATGAGTAAGACATCTATTTTTTAGAGTTAAAGAGAACTGTGGTTTTTTGTTGTCTATCTATAATGAATACTACTGTTGTTTTTAACTTTAGACTTCTAATTCTTGGTGTTGTTGTTCAACAATATATACATCTACTTTAAAAAGTAGTTGAAAGATATATCAGACTGCTGCTCGGAAGACTACTAAACAAAAATGCCATCAGACAACTGTTATCTTTTGTTGTATATTGATTATTAACACAACGGTGTTTTGTAGTTTTCCTTGAAGTATTCAAACTATCTTTTATGACAGTAGTTGAATTGTTTATCAGATAGCTACTCTAAAGATTACTAAAGAAATTTGCTTCAGACAACCATTATTTTGCGTTGTATTTTAAAAATATGAACTACTGTTTTTGTAGTATTTCAAACAACTGTTTGTTTTGATCATCTAAATGTTATTAATACTACGGGTTTGTGTAGTTGTACATATACTCTTCAAACTATTAGTTTGAAT